ATTTTCTTGAGGAATCCACAACCGGAGCCTTCGGCTAGCCAAAGCCTGATCCGCAAGGCAGCGGGGCGGTGTGCGAAAACCGCAGTCCATTGGGAGCCGGTGTCCAGTTCATCGGATCATACGCCCTTCGGACGGGGTCAGACGTCCAAGGTGCCCAATACACCTCAATGCCCAATCAAGCCGGTGACCACTGCCACAACCGAAAAGGTGTGGGTGTGGTTCGTACGTCTCCTCATGGTTGGTTTGGAATCAGGGTTTTCGGCCAACTCCCCTAGGTGAACTGCCAGTGGTCCACCAACCCGGCTATAGCCCCGGATATCGGCTTTTCTTCCTCTCACTTTGGTGGGAAAACACCGCCGCGAGAAGGCAGTGAGTACGGCTTCCTCAACAGAGGCTATTTGAGACGCTTGGTCGTATGGAGGCATTTCGTGAGGTGCAAGGGCAAGGTGACGAGCCGCAACCCTAGACACCCACCCCCAACCATATTGAGGCCTTGGGAGGCTGATGTTGACCTGAATGATTATCGCTCAAGATTCATCTCTACGCATAATTCCCGCTTCGTCTAGTTCAGCAGTCTCTAGTTTCGCTCTTGTTAAACCTTATCACTAGTTCATTTCCACCCATCCGTGTACCCCGGATTGGAACCCCGCGTGAAAGGCGTCTTACCACTGTACCGAACAACTGACAAGGAGGCTCACCAGAATTATCATTTCAAGCTTGTTTATTTCGTCTTCAGAGATAATTAGCAGGTTCTTTTGGTGAGACAGAAACGCAGAAAGACGGTTTACTGTAAGTTGACGTCAATCGAAAACTTCCAGCTAAACCAGGTCCAGCACTAAGGTACTTGATAAACCTCTTAGGATAGAGTTGATTCACAGTTAACTTACAACTACTTGAGTTAACTGCAAAGACTAGTGCATAACTGATTGAATGAGCCGAGCAGTGTAAGGAAAAACAAGTTCGAAGCTAGTCAGTCAAGTCAATATCAAAACTATCACTGTGAATCACGTGATCTAAACTCAGTTCGTCTAATAGAAAAATAATCAAAACCACGGATCCAAGCATAGTCACAATGATGGACAAATCTTCATGAGATCAAAAATAAACCTGTGCTACTGAAGTATAAGTTTGTGACCACTCAGATCAGGCATGCATCAGGGGGATGTAGAAATGAATTGTATTACCTGGCCACTCGAATGGAGCGCGGAGAGAGTTTTTTCAAATAGGACAGCAAGCAACTCATTGTTTTCCCTGTATCTATGATATCTTCGACAACCAGCAAGTCCTGAAAATAGTAAAATTAGACCCACTAAAAAGCGTTACCTTTCCCTCATATTGCTCGGGATTTTCCAATCCGGTCAAAATTGGCTCGTGGACGGATTTATCATTCTTAGTTACCGTTAAAAAAGTAGTTGGCTCGAACTTACAACGTAGCTCCGAATGCGCAAAAAATCTACGGACAAGGGTAGGATGGTCTCTCGTGCACGGATTGTCGATTCAAGCGCGGCGATCAGATCGCCCAAAAATTTAAAACCACCTTTCAGTACACAAAGTAGGGTCACAGATCGCGCATTGCCTTTTTCCAAACTGGTTACTATGTCCAATGCCAACTTCTCGATCCTAAAACGAAAAAGTTACCGCCGTGCAACAGAAGCACACTTGCCTATCCTTGATCATCCCGTTGGGGATGAGCACATTGGTTACGTAGTTCGCATAACGAGGACAGACACAAAAGTACTCTGCGGGAAAACCTTCGTAATCATCATCGAGCTGGAAAAAAAATAGCAATTAGTGAGAGGAACATGTTGCAAAAATACCCGAAAATTTCACTTTAAACATGATGCAGAATTCACTCCCTGGTTTTCAATTCCATATACCTAATGGTGATTCAGAATCACATAAATGAGCTTCATATTAAATTTTCTCGTCGGACTTCATGCATGGTCGAGTTTCTACCGCACGTGAACAATGCCAGTCCGTGAATTAGATTGGATTTAGACCTTGCGAAGGATACATCGACAAAATGTTCATGCTGGGTATGAAAATGGTCTTGAACTCAGTCCAACGCATCGTGCTGCCTCTCGCTGAAGTGTACTGTGAAAGTTTTGTTCTACTTTCACCAAAAGAACGGCCGAAACTACGTTTGTCACTTAAGTTCTAATTTCACTTTGTTCAATTAAGTTTAAAAATGACAATGTCCTCATACAAAAGTAGTTAAATCTGCGTGCACCCAGGAGCCCAATTGTCACCTGCTTTTTCCAGACGACGTAGTACAGCTCAGTGAAGATCGGAGAATAGTTTCTGGGTTGTTGTAGTGTCTGTGCATCGTTTATTTGAAACAGGTTTTGCATCTTCAAAGTGCTGGTACTTCAACTGGCATGACACTACAATAATATGGAACCTTAGTGGCTAAATCTCTTCTGGCGGACGTATTTCGGATGTCAGCACACCTATAGGTGGTTTAGTCCATCGATATTTCTGGCATCACCGTACCATCTGCCTTTAATGATCTGATCGGTGCACAAATGAGCATTGGGAGTAAAAGATGGACAATCATAGTGTGTTCGAACACCGCTACCTACACCGCAGTGCACTAACTTAATGTGATAACCGGGTAAGGATTGCCGAAGTCAGACGAGTACTCGGTGGTAGGCAACTACTCCGTGGTTCAGCTCAACACCACGCCTAAACTAGTGGGACCGAAAGCACTGAACGAAATAATAAGGAATTATCGCATTCAAGTGGATTGATGGGACATTGAGTGCTCAAACTAATGCAACGGCACTACAGATAAAGGCACTCGAATCACCTTCAAAACAACTTTCCAACGATAGTGCACTTCCTGTTCTCCGTACTCTGAAAAACATTCCCGCTGGGCAACTATTTTTGCGGACAACCGAAACACAAAGCGCTGGGATTGGTTTTTCATTCGGGTTTAAGTGAACTAAATCCACAGTAGTTTCAGAATAAGATTTTGTAGCGACACTGATTTCGGTTGTTTCTCCTTCAGGTGTACTATGCATAATGCAACTGACGGTTTCAGTGAACTGAAAATCTATTGCACAGAATCGATCGCCATTAAATCTAGACGACCGACCATGTGGCAAATGATGATGAAAACCCAACAAGCATATCTGGCTAGGCAGTGCCCACGCAGCAACAATATCAGTAAAATATAGGAAGTAGAGCTCAAAGCAAAACGATATGAAAATCAAAAAGCTACCGACGATCAAATGCCCGGTCGGTTACCAAATATTTTGCGGGGATGTGACTCGAATGCCAAAGACTGCCCCGCAGTTGGAAATGAGCTCTCAATACCCGACTGCAACTGGACGCAGTCATCTAACACTTGAGGGCTGGAGTCTTTCCTGTGTCGGCTTTAGACGGGGTGGTGGAGAAACAGAGAGGGATGGGCTTTAAATAACTTTCGATGAGCATTTGGCGAGACAGTGAACTAGAAGACACGTGGGCGGCAGGTTAATGGAGATTAAAAATTTGAGTCAGAAGTAAAGCCTTGGTTTTTTTCCATGAAGAGATGAAATTATGTAGAGCGGATTACATACAGAAGGTCCCTCTGTCAGCATAGTCAGTAAAGGCTTCAGCGTGCTGGAAACTGGGCAGGAATGAGGCCACAAAAACAAACATTATAAGCAGCGTTGAGAACCGGTAAAACCCGTCGGCAACACCATCACCTGGAATGTTTAATTGGCAAGGGTTATGTTTGGTCATGGGGAGAATGGACTGTAGTGGACATGGCCTAACCTCTACTTCTGAAGATTGTGACAGTAATATTTAGCATAACAAAAGCAAACCGTATAACGTACGTTACCTAGACACTTCAAGAGTTATTGACTGTACATTTGCGCTTCTAGTACGGCCGTTTTTACGAAACAGTAACTCCATGCCAATTAGCTGTAATCATCGTCCTGCTCATGAAAGAGATGCGCATCTGGGAAGTCTGATCTCCGTACTAGAGCAATAAGGATGAATTTCTTGCGGACCTCAACCATTCTGCAAAGCGTTTTAAACCGATTTATTGACTTCGATTTGCACAACGCAGTATCGTGTGAAGTTAACACGTGATAAGGGTTAGTGTGACATTTGTCATTAATTAACCGTGTGAAATGACGACGCTAAAACTCAATCCTATGATCTGTCCCATGCTAGGCGATAAAAAAGAAAGGTGGTGAACAACCAGAATTAAAATGACCAGATACACCAAACTTACGACCATGTGTTTGGCACCCTCTCCACGCTCCATCATGAAGCGGAAAAAGTGCGGGTACAGAAGTGTCTATTCCATTAAATTCATTGGTCGACTCCCGGGCGCATTTGTGATTGGTCCACTAAAGGTCAGTTCAGTTCAATTCAGTGCAGTTCAGTTCAGTTCAGTTTGCACAGGACAGAAAATGGCCACGGCCAATCCAGCGTCCAGAATTCCCTCGGTGGTATGTGGTCAAGTATGGCATCCACCACTGCGAAAAGTAATCCGTACTTCCTGGCTGAAAAGAGGAAGGGAAAGACGTCTCATCTCACCTCCAAGGCGAGCGTGAGCGTTCCCCAATACATAGCAGAGCGAAAACAAAAAACATACTACCTGAGTCCAATCCAATCCAATCCAATCTTCCAGGACGTAGAGGCCTCGGCCTTATGGTTGTC